AGTAATCTCTGAACAACTTGATCATTATATTTTAATGGACGCTAATCACAAGACAAGACAGAACACGCATCCTGGATTCTACTGCTAATCACCATCCACCTTTGCTTATAATCACAAAATTTCACTGGTTAAAATCATTAGTCAATTGAAGCTATACCATCATGGAAAACCTGTAAGCACTGGACGGCCGTTTCGTCCTATTGTGGGACTCCTCAGCAGTGCGCATCCACGATCCCGTCCCCCGAGGGATTCGAACCTAGGACCTATCAGTCTCGCACCAGGCGCTTAATCAACGAGATCACTGAACCGGTATCCAACGGTGTTGATGTCTAATTTGAACCATTCCACGGAATTGTGCTTCCAGGTTTTCCATGGTGGTCCAGCTTCATTTGACCCCCACCGTTTGATGCCGGCTCAGTGGTCTAATGGTTAAGTGCTCGCGCGCGAAGCCAGTAGGTCCTGGGTTCGAATCCCACGGGGGGCGGGTTCGTGGATGCGCACTGCTGAGGAGTCCCATACTAGGACGAAACGGCCGTCCAGTGCTTCCAGGTTTTCAAGGGCGGTCTAGCTTCAATTGACTCATGATTTCAACCTGTGAAATCACAAAATTGTTTGTAAATAGTTAGTAAGTTATGAAATCAAGAAGTTTCTTTTTTCTTTTTCAGTATTATTGGGGAATGATCTTCACTATCAACTTGATTTATTGAATGGTTTATAATTTTCTTCTAGAAGTTGAAGATTTTGAAACTTGAAGTAAGTTGTTAATAAAATGTGGTTAGTCAAAGTTGGGTAACACTGAGATTTTTCGAGGTTATGTAGTAAGGGTTGTATAGTCTCATCTACTTACAAATTAAGTTCAAGGAGCTTCACTTACAATCAAATCAATAAATATTCACACATATATCAATACACTTTATTAAGTTCATACATGTAATTATTCATCCGTTTCCTTACCATTTATCACTTACTTAACAACAGTTAGTATTTTATTAATAGCATTGATATAAATTGAAGAAATTATACTTGGATTGATACTTCTATATGATAATATTACTTACTTGCACCTGTTACCTCTCATGGAGGAGAATAGGCTACTCACCAACACTCTACATCCAACTCTATCCTGGAAAATCCTTCCCAGTTTGTCTCAGTTGCTGTTCATCCCTTTCATGTCTGCTTCCAATTCTCGACGCAGTGTGTTATTTGGCCTCCCTCTTTTCCGTTTCCTTTCACGATTCCAAGTTAGCGATTGCTTCGTAATGCAGTTTAATGATTTCCTCAATCTATATCCTACCCACTTCCAGTGGATTTACCTAATTTCCTCCTCAGCTAGGAGTTGGTTTGTTCTCTCCCACAGTAGGCTGTTGTTGATGATATCCAGTCAACGGACACTGAGTACCTTGCGTGGACGATTGTTTATAAATATTTGTACATTTTTGATAATTGTTGTGGTAGCTCTGCAAGTTTCAGCTCCGTACAGTAGGACTGTCTTGATGTTTGTGTTGATGTAATAATATTACTATAGCTTAATTTTCAAAGTATTATTAGGCTAATGTATTTGTTATGGATTTACTGAAAGTTGAGTTAAACACATTTCAATGGTTAAGATCATGAGCCAGTTGAAGCTAGACCACCATGGAAAACTTGTAAGCACTGGACGGCCGTTTCGTCCTATTGTAGGACTCCTCAGCAGTGCGCATCCACGACCTCGCCCCCTGCGAGATATTAATCAACATATGCTCACTAGTGACTGGCTTCACGAGGTATATCCTGGAGTTCTAGTGAGAAGTAGTGACCAGTGGAGTTCAACCGTGACAAGGATTATCAATAAGAATTAAAATATATATCATTCATTAATGAATGAGGTCAAAATTCTATTCGAAAATTTATTAAGATTTTTACACATGTAAAGCAAGAATTTGCAATGAATAATGATAATTAGATAATAATAGCTTATAACCAAAGTATGAAAATATGGAACAAAGAATTCCGATAGCTCACTTCCAAAGGTAATGTATTCACAAACTACTTACTCTCACAATATTTATTCTAATGAAAATATTTTCTTACTGTAAAGACTATTGGACTTTCTGATTAGCAAGTTAATTAACTAGTTTTAAACAGTTCTATATTAATAATAACTGTTGTTTATATAGTCTCTTGAATGATAAATATTATCTAAGTTTTGCTTCACTAAAAGGAAATATAGTCAAGAGTTCCGATTATTTCACATCAAATCTTCAACGATTTACAAGTACATCACCTTTAAGACTTTTTAATTTTATTGTGTTTTTAAAAACATCAAACGATAGCAGTAGCTGGGATCCATCAACATATTGACTGTTAGAATTCTGATTGAGTTTACTGATGGTGAAATAGTGTCATAGTGAAATAATGTCATGAAGTGAAGTAATGTTTACCATGAAATCTAAATTCTAGAACAAATCTTAATGTTATGTATAAAGAACTTTCATATTTCCTATTTAATTCTCAACTCCTTATTTAAACTAAATGATTGTATAGGTTCGGTATAAATATAGTACGAAAATTATTTAGAATCAACGTTGAAAAGCATTTCAGTTGTATATTGTATGATTTATAAACCACATTGTTTAGAGGCGAACAATAAGAATGATTCTAAGATCTTCGTATGCTAACTAGCACCAAATTAATGTTTTTAAATTTTCTTTCACTCATATCAAGGTACATACATCGATAGATGGTGAGACTCCTGCCACATTAAGAAATGCATTGGCCTATATAGTGATGGCTCCTTTCTACATAGAGGTGATAATGATAAATAATATTTTTACAGTTGAAATCACAAGTTTTAAACTAGACTACAGTTGAAAGCCTGGAAGCACTGGACAGTTATCGCGTCCTAGTATGAAACTCCTTAGCAGTGCGCATCGACGACCTCGCATGCAGGGATCGAACCCAGGACATTCGGTCTTGCACGAAAACACTTAACCTGTAGACCATTAGGCTGACATTTGATGGTATTAATGTTTAACTTCAATCAATCCGTAATCTTGCCCAACCGTTCACCCATTGTTCCAGGTGGATAACTGTCTCACACTCAACATAGATTAGATTCGACTGGTCGCGGCTTCTCACTAGAACTCCTGAAATTGCATCGTGAAGCTAGTCACTAATGATTTTCTTTAGAAATATTCTACTTGTCATCATGATACCCTCACAAATTCAAATCTCAATAATCAAGTTTGTTTAAGTAATAAGGAATCTTGGACTTTCAAGAGTAGTGAAGTATTTAAAAACACCATAGTATAATTTATTGCTTATCCCGTCGATAGCCATCAGAAAAGTTATTTCAGTGTAATTTTCTGAGATTTTTTCTATCCATCGAATAACACTTGTGAAGTAGAGAATGATGACATTTTTCCTCATCTTAGTATTGTACTTTCAAGATCTGTTTTATTAATAAACCAGGTTTCTTATCATACATAATGAGTAAATCATCTTTTAAATCACATATTCTACTTCTAATGAATCCTATTTTCAACCGTATATCAATATGGTGTTGTATATTTTATCAAAAACATTATTTAAAAATGAGCTATCAGATGATGGATTTCAATGTTAAATTCGAAAGATTTTCATTAAAGCAAAAGTGATTTAAACAACACTGTAAAGGACTTTCAGTAGATTCTCAACCTATTATGACAATATACTGTAACAGAAACTTTGAACAATCTAAAAAAACAAATATCATATTCATTTTTGATCTTAACTGGTTATTTTATGCTTAGTTTCTACGAAAAATAATTAACCAGTTTGTACTGATATATCAATTTACTTCTTTTAAACATATAAACCACGTGATTATTATATATGTAGAAGATAAACTGATTTCAAGTTAAATGACTCAGATATAAAGTGATAGAATTACTTATGTACATGTATTTGTAGGAAGAGAAGTACTAGTTAGTTAATTGAATCTTTTTTAATTATTTTCTATTGTTATTATTCTTGGCTTGATATACATATATATTTTCTTAGCATCACTGGACAAACATTACAAACTCTCTTGTTTTATGATGTGTCTATTTTTGCATTCTACCCCTTTGTGTAAATTGAGACGATTGTTGATACTGCTGTTCATATACTATATTGTTTTAATGTTTAACTTGTCATCAGGTCGGGGTTTATTTTTACTGTTGAAATTATTGTATTTGATGGTTACATTGATGGTGGTGGTGGTCGTCGTAGTTGTAGGGTGGTCAAGTTGATGATCCTTAAAATAAAGAGTAAATAATTTTTTTAAAGTAGACACTATGGACAATAGTTTCCAGTCGTTCTCTCTCTCTACTCTCATACTCTCACGAATACAAATGTTATTTCACATACACACACAAGTACATATTATACATATCTCTATGTACAATTGTATACACGCGCAGAAAATGATATGAGCTCAAATTTATGATTAATTTAATTGCCCAATAAGGTTAGTGATAGATTGGTTAGTTCAGATCATATATATATTTTTTACTTCAATATGTCCTTATTTTACCGGTCATCAGTATTTACTTTTCTATGTATGTGTGTTTATTAACATGTTAGTATTATCCACATGCGGTATAAACATTGTTATTTTTAAAATTGACGTGTACAATACTATAAATGATCAAGAAAACTTATCAGATATGGTGCTTTATCTATATTCAAATGTATGCTCACTACATACACCACCTTAGAACCGCAAATTATTTCATTTTCATTCTTTATAAATAAGTAATCGTCCTCTTATTTGCATGTTTGTATGTAGATGCGTGTTTATGTGCACGTTTCTATGTTTCACTTAAATATTAAGTTCCCCCGTGTTTCAGTCTTTTTAAAGTTTATATTATATGTACATTCAATTTTAATTTTTTGGTCATTATGTCCATAGGTCATATAGAAATAATGTATGTGTGTGAAGAAGAATATGAAATACGTCACTATATATATATAAATAGATATATGTGAACCTTCTTATTGCCTTAGTCCATTTCAGTCAACCACACCACCACCAACCATATCTTACCAACAACCGATTCTTTCCAATACGATTAAGGTTATTAATTTACTATTTGTCATAGTTCTCAGTTGTAATTTAATCTGAACACTGAAAGGACGATAAATTCATCTGATGTTCAGAAGGTGGATATAATATAAATTACTATCGTCAATGCTAATAGTAGTATTACATTCCGTGTAGTGAGTGGAATATAAAAAAACAACAAGGATACGAAAAACTCCGTTTATCTTTATAAAAATAACTGAGCAAAGAAAAAATAATGAATATTACATTACTAATGAATGAAACAGACTCTGTCCAATGTCATTCGGTTAATGTAATCTCTGATAGTATAGATGATTATACAAATTTATCAAATGTACAGTATATACATAAACATAATACCAGTAATAATCCTAGTAATAATAATACTAGTAGCACAATTAATAATCACAACATGCTTATCACTAATCACAAAAGCAATTCAAACAGTAATACCAATGAACTATCAACTACAGATTGTACTAATTTAGCAGATAATTTGGTAAGTTAATTAACTGTTTAATATATATTGTATATTGTTAAACAATTATGTATGCCTAATCTTATAAAGATTAGTATTTGCTTACTAGCATATGTGGTAAATGTTGTGAAGCATCGTTCAAATAATAATAATGTATGGAATACCAGTAGGGTATACATCGTGTTCAATCAAGATGTCAAATTATCTATTTAACTCGAAATGACATAATCTACTATTATATAAAATATAAATTCCAAAAATTCGTATGATTTTTTAATGTTTATTCTCGAATGAGTTAGAACTCATCTTATAAATATGTTTACTTGTCTGCATACACTAATGTACTATAAGTTTTTAGCAGCTTTAGGAGCACTATTTAACGCTCAATGGTTTCAAAATGTGTATATAAAAGTATACGTATTATATCACAAATGTAAAATGATTCGTGGCTAATATCAAGTAGACTGACAAAGATAACGTATATCGAACAAAATTTTCAAAATTTCCTGACAGTAATTTTGATCTAGATAAGTCGATAGTAAGTGAATTCAAGGTTTATCTACACTACCTATTTATATTGACCACAAAATATTTTTTACTCAGGTAATATGTATAAACAAAACGTAATTATAAGTCATTAGACAGTAATCCCAAGGTATCATCGTTTTCCTATCCCATCAAAAATGAAATAATTCCGAGGAATTAAGAAAGATTTATTGCTTTAGTTAGTGATTTACAAAATCGGTTAGATAAGAAATATAAGTACTGGTAAAAAATGAATTTTGTAAGGGTTTTGAGATAATGAGTGTAGATTAACACGCTGTCTGTTCATTAAATTATGTTTGACGTTATCAGAATGATTGAACGTGAACTATTGTTGATCCTATAATAATATATAGTTAATTTAAACAAGTATATCTAATACTGAACTTGACTGATTTGATTTATAGTTAAGGTTATTAAGCTTTGACTATTCAGTGACACATTCAAATTCTACCTTATCTACTACAGTTTGAGTAACTGTCTATTCTCAATAATCCACATATGTATTCAATTGATATTTTTTCAGAATTTTAGGGAACCTATACTTCTCGTCATTAAAGCTTCAGCCAGCATTAGAAGTAACTGATGTAGATTACTGTAATCTACTTTAAACTACTTGCATACAACCCATTTATTGGGTGATTATTTTCATCTGAAGACTATCAGTAGTTTTTTACGTAGTTATTGGTCACCAATCTAAAGTTAACTATCATGCCTCACAAAGTTATTTGCTGATATTTTTTTTCTGGTTTTGAATCACTGATTCCTAATGAAACTTAACTGGGAAAAACTAACTAGGCAATTAATAATAAATATTCATTCGCATTTATTGTTTAATTGTCATGTGGGACACCTTAATCGATTGCCTTTTTATGTATAGAATTCTAGTTCAAACTGTACTTCACCGAATGGTTCAACACTTACCATGTATGGTACACAACATCGTTTTAAAATCAGCCCAAATACATATCACGATCTGGAAAACGGAAACAGTTTGACTACTACAAGTATTGGTCCTCGTCCGGATACAGATCTAGATTCAGCATTCCCACCGAAAAAGCTATACACTGACGATATACCTGTTCTGTAAGTAACACTTTATCCATGGTCATGGATTTATTTCACATACATTTGCTTACGTTTGAATTATCTCCATTTTTGAGTGATATGAAGCTGAATTTTAACTGTTAATATGTAAACAATAAACTAAGTTATACACAGGGAGATTATTTCAATGTCAATTTAGATCCTATCCGTCATCAGTAAGACTCAACACATATTAGTCTTTTTGGCAAAAGTTCGGTTTTGATAAATCCATTGAAGTTGTGCATTTTGCTCTTTGTTGCATTAATAAATAAGACATGATAATTGGCTTTCTTTCTTTTAGGTTTGGTGTTTGCTTGAGAACTTATTATTTGAAGGTTAGATAATTGCATTAAGATTTAGAAAATGCAATTGATAACTTCATTATTTACATTTCGACAATTAATACAAAAGAATAACAATAATCAATGAGTTGATAAATTGGATTCGAACTAATTCTTAGTTGAATATTCTTAATATTGTGTATATAAAGTATTTTACGTGGTACAGGTTAGGTGGATTGTAATAAGTAACAACTGTGATTTATTATCATCCTGGTCTTTCTGAAATATGTTTTAACAAATTCAGGACCCATAACTGCTCATATTGATTATCTTGTGTAGAGTAACAAGTTGGATCAATATGCAAAATATAAATTATAATCGGAATTATCAAACTACAACAATATATCCAGTAGAAACGATAAGAATTTTATTTTTCCTACTGAAGTTGAACCTTTCTCTCTGACTTATGAAACAAGGGGAATTCGTATACTTGTGGGTAAATTATACATATATTTTAGTTGAACAAACCAAACATCAGAGAACATTATTCAGTGATAAAATTTATGTAGGTTCCATCTGTATCCGAATTTATTGTGATAAATTATTTGTAGCTAAATTCATGAGTCGATGTAACCTGAAGCACTATTGAAAACCTGGAAGCACTGAACGGCCGTTTCGTCCTAGTACTGGATTCCTCAATAGTACGCGTCTACGATCCCACGCACGGGATTCGAACACAGAACCTTTGATCTCGCGTGCAAACGCCTAACCTCCAGACTACTGAGCCGGCATCCAACGGTGTTAATGTTTAACTTCCATCTTTAACACCTTAAAAGTTGCAGAAGTGAAACATCTTTTTCGGCTTCGATATTTTATTTACGTAGCCTAAACATAGATAAAACTAACTTGAGTTACTATACTTAATACAGTATTCCTTCAATACATAGTCAACTTGATTAATTCATTGGGATATTTCCATCATTTACATTTTCATGATGCCTTGTAGTCGAAGTAATATATCTTTTTTATGATGAATAAAATAGCAAACGTTTTGTAGAATCAATCCATTTTTGACTGATTACTTCCTGACCATGTGAGGTTTTAAATTCCATTCATAACCACAGTTAAGTATCATTTAATTATATTACTTGTAAAATTTAATAATCTTTATCTGTATCTTATATACCAAGAAATGTTCATTGAAGCTTATTGAAATAATGATGGATATGGATGATAAAGTGAGACCGAAGATCCTGGGTTCGATTCCCGGATCGAGGTCATAGATGCGCAGCTCTGAGGAATCATATGCCAGGTAGAAACGGCCATTCCGTGCTTCCAGGTTTCAAGTGGTGGTTTATGTGGATCAGTTCATGATTTAAATTGTTAAAAACCTCCACTGTTTTAAAATAATAGCCACTAGCGAAGAGCTCTGAGATAGTAAATCTTAAGATTTAGATGTCTCCTTACTTGTTAACCACGTGTTCATGATAATTTGTGTTAAGAATGACTCAGTTTGTAAAGCGATATTTTGAATGACAACTTTTGCAGTGTACAGTATCTCTCTTAAACATCATTCACATATCGTTTGTTAATCGATGTTCTTGTTTAGCAAAATGTTTAGTCTGGAAATTCACATCATAAGCCAGAAGATTTAGAACGGAAATCTACACCAAATAATCGAAAAAAGTTTGGATTTTCTGATGTTTTATTTACTAAGTCATAATATCAATAACAATAGTTACCCAATTGTTTATGCAAACTAGTTTTTAGAATGATTCGACTTGTTTTGTATATAAAACTTAACAATTATAATCACAATATGAAGGAGAATATAACATGATGGGAATATCTACTGTATACTACATGTTTCTAAGGTACTGGAAATCCTAAACATTTGGCTATGCTTGTTTAAATGTGTTACTCACAGTGGCTCAGATATATTTATTATCTCTGTTAAAATTTTGGGCATAGTTTTGTACTTTAGTTTTGACTTACTTGATTTACTCGTTTCTTTTACGCTAAATTCATTTTATTAATTTTCTACTACTACTTCTATCATTTCGTTTACTGTTTTACATCTAATTTACTTAATTTCTTTATATTATGGTCATGTAAATTTTGAGAGCTTCAACCAATGGATACTTGAGACGGGTTTCAAGTTATTTATGGTTGATTAATTATTTGAATTACTTGGAACGATGTACTTTTTCACATGAGTAATAAATCACTCAATTAGTAAACTCTTTAAATTTTAACATATGCATCAAACGTTTCCTCCACATAAGATTTTGGTGTTAAATAAAATAATCTTTGTATAGATTACACAAACATCATCTAGGGTTTATCGATTTTGCTTCCTGCAGTGAATGAGTATATTTATGATTTTCAAAGCTGTAGAGTACAATGTACAGTAATACATACGTTATCTAAATCGTACTTAATCAGGTGTCAACTAGTGTCTACACACATTAGATTTGCTAAGAACCTTATAAATGCAAAGTACTTTTGAAAACCTGGCAGAAACTGATGCTTGCATACACTGTGTTGAACCGTTGGTAAAAGGTGTGTTCTAATGAGAATTAGCCAATTTTTGTTTCACCATAGTCTTAGCACCGCTTATAATTTAACACGTTGTTATAATCATTCATCTAACTTTTCTTCACTTTCCTTATACTCACCAAGTGAGAATTTCTGTTTTTATTTCTTTATAGGTTATTATTTCTTATTACTTCTAGGGCTACCACGTAACTTACATCCGATACTCTTTTTTATTTATTTATTGATAGCTTTATTAAATAATACAATAATCCTCTATTTCATTGATCTGTACGTGTAACAGTTAACTAAAAATACGAATAATGTGAATTATATTGTCGATAAGAAGATTCATCTTCATTTTAGTCTAACGACATCAATAGTTTTCTTTAGTTGTTTGGGAATGTAGCTTGTTCATTCTTTTACCAATTGAAGCACCTTCCCCTTCTTTGTTTCTTTACAATATCTTTACTTCTTCTGTATGGTGAATTATTTTTTTGAGCTCTATAGTACCAGAATTTATGTGCTTTAAATGAACGAAACAATATCAGTGCAGCAAAACATTTGTTGCCTATGTGTTTGAAAATGTTTATTGAGAGCGAACGACCTTAATAATGTAAGCATAATGGATAACAGTTAGTTTCTGGGCCCTCATTTAAAAAATCAAAAAACTAATCAGGTTATCAAGATAAGTTAACTGTGATATCTGAGATATATACATTATATTCTAAGCCAGTATCTATTTTTTTATCTGAACCCTAGTTAAAGTAGAAAATCCACAAGAATTATCGAACCGAATAATTCTATTAAATAGTTCATTTATTCCCTATTGGATTAAATTGTATACGGTACTGTTTCTTAAATTTTATGTCACTAATACACCAGTTAATTTAACCAGTAGATTTGAAATTTATGATAAAAACCTCAACATTACTATGTCAGATTATGTTGTTTTGCCTAGTTAATCATTGAAAAGTAAAAAGTTATTCTTCATATCTTTTTCATATAGTAAAACAAACAATTTTATATTCATTTTACATAATAGGTAGCTTCTGTAAATTACTGTATCTAACTTAATCATATATATATACTTTAAATGTTTGGTACATATGTCTATAAATATCAAATAATATACAAATTTGGGGCGTGGTACTCTTATTTGTAGTAAGCAATATAAACAAAACAAGAAAGACTCAGTGAAAGACCATAGTCATAGTAATAATAAACTGATAAAAATGAAATTTAATTCACTGAATTAACTAAGAGATTAATAACAATAACTCAGACGATAAAGTGTTGATTTACTAATAGTGTTGACGGCAATATTGATAATGAAATAATAGTTGGAAGTGATTCATCTTAGTTGTTTTGATTCTTCATATATTATAAACTTTCCAGTTGTGAATGCAAAATTTTTTTTGATATTTGTGTATACATGGGTTACTTATGTGTGTATTATTGTTGTGTTTTTTTACACTTATGTGCTTGTCAGTAAACAGCAAAGATGTATAGAATGGAATATTCTTACCAGAATTTTTTTTCCAAAAATGGACTAAACAAAATGTTAGACTTATCAAAAGATTTAGGAGTTACGTAGAAAATTAATATTTCGTTTTGTTTCTAATTTAGTTATCTCTAGAGAAAATGAGTAACACTTAACTACATATTAGTAATCATAGTAAAGCTGTTCCCATTTAGTCTATGTAAATGACATTTGTAAAGATATATTCTTGATCTTTGTTAGATTAACAATAACTTGATAGAATAAATAAAACTAAACAATGAATAAGATCAAGGTGAACTCAGTAGATGATGATTAATCATTTTAATTTCTTGTTACGAAAATGTTACTTACTACTATTAGTAGCACAATTCTAATAGTTACAAAATTCTGTATCAATTTCACTCAAAGGTAAAATGAAATAATTTTTGAAATTTTTTTTTCGTGAAATAAATAAACGTTTAATCATGGGAATCATCACTTCAGCTTGTAGACTGAAATATACTCCAACTGTTAGTTTTAAAATTTGTAGTGTTGTTGTTTAAGCTAATGAATCATTGAAAACTAGGAGAGATTTCAATGATAATCAAGGATTCTGCTCTAACAGTAAAATGTATTACCCAGGAATTCAAGGACTTCTACTGTAAGACTCGAAGCTATAATGTTACTGCTATTTTATTCTCTCATATTTTCAGTAATTCATTAAACGAAAGCAGTTGAGAATAATAATCGTTTATAGATTAAGAATAAATTATCTGAATGATATTTTGCTTACTTTGTTCATTTTCTGTATTATTTGATGATATTCGATATATTTTATCATCCTAACGTTCATATAACATTCATTTTATTAAACTATAGAGAATCATTTCCTGGTTTTTACGGTTTCGATCTTTATCGACCATTATGTGGTGATACTTATGAAGCAAGTGAAACAAAACCGAGTACTGCATTTTTTGTAAGTAAACTGTATATCTAACCAATTAAAGCTTTATAAACCATTTACTTATTATTTCATTGTTTTAGGATGCACTTTTTGATTACACAGGCTTCTTAACTGAGTCATTTAAGCTGTTATACTCACTTGCGATAAGAAGTATATTCGCTGTAGAAGTATGTTAACTGGATAATTTAGTAATCAAGTATTCATTTTGGCACTATTCACGACGAGTAAAGACGTATAAACACACAATTTAGCTAGAACTGTTCTAATGTTACTGTTCGACAAATGTCTCTGAATATTATCTTATTATGTATGGAGTTGTTTTCAGACTCTGATAATGCCCAGAGTTGGAGCTGTTACTTTTTACTACTGATAACAAGATGTTTTCTAAATAATTGAAAACATTGGCTAGCTAGCCTGGGGAAAATATTTGTATTTATTATTGTACTGTCCTCACTTCAGTGATAAATAAACTATCCTAAATCTCATTCTTCTTTATATTTATTATTGGACTGTAGTATTTTAAAGATGAACAAGGATGGACAAATTTGTATGCGAAGAAAACACCTACATGGTGGACATTATCCTATTGGTGTCAACGTAAACCCCCAGAAGGTTCATTCATTCGTTTAACACCAGTTTATGGGGCATCAGACAAACAACAGGAAGTAATCCAGAGGTAAGTTTCTTAACTTTCATTAGTGAAAACAAGAATCATTGTAATTTTTGTGAACTTATTCTAATATTGATGACTGCTTCATTTTAATTGTTACTGAGACCTGGTTTTAATTTGTTACACTAAGAACCAGATTCGCTGATATTCGTAATGAACAAATTTTCTGTGTTTGTTGGCTCCCAGTTATAATTTTAATTTCTCTGAGCTAGTTGGTTGATTTGTAAAGTTAAGGAATTATGTTATGATGTTTCTTATTAAGTTGGGAATCTTTGACTTGATATTTTTTAGTAAAAGTTAATCCAATAAGGTGCTGTTTCCATTTTAGTCTAGGTAAACTGGTCTTCTATTCCTTACAATATCTGACAAATATATAACAAATACATTCGGAATATTTTCTCACTCACAAATTAGCTTATTTAAATAGATTATTAAAAATTATATTTCAGTAGTGTGTACATGTGTATAGATAGTTACATGTACACTAATGTTAAAGGAAGAATGTAATAAATAAGTAATACTGTTTTGTTCACAAATTAAGGTAGTTTAGGTGTGTAAAATATTGAATCCCCACTCATCTAATGATATCGGGTCTGCCGAGAGTTCTAAACTTCCTGGGTTTAATCTCAGATGGGTTTGTAGGTTGACACACTCATGTGGAGTTCAAAACTTGATCAGGAGAGATACCCAGTACTTTCTGGTTGTCAACGACACTTTGACATCAGTTCATAGTAAAAATTTACCTTCAAAATAAATATAAATCACTGACAATCACTATTAAAAAGCTATGTACTCTAGAATTCTAAATTCAAACCAAATTTTGTTTTTGTTCCTTATAAAAGCGTAAGTTTTCTTTCGTTCTATATTCATTTTTGTGGAAAATTTCCCTAATATTATCGGTTATTTTTCTATCCATTCGGAACATTTGACTATTCTTCTAATAAAATTCACTTCTACAGTTTTCTAAGTCTAGAATTTTTGAGAGGAAGAAAAATAAAGGCAGAAAATTTTTTCTTTTCTATCCATTACCTACTTTGTCATAAATATTCACTTCTATCCATAAATATATTTATAACAGATAAATGATTCCCCCTTCCAAATAAACTCTATAATAGTATCGTATCGCTTTTATTTGTCTGATAAGCAAATAATTTTAAAGTAAGGATAATTTTCTATGGTTTGTTTGTAATTCAGTCAAGAATCAGGAAATAAATAGAATAGCATCAACTGTTGAATTTCCAATACTTTAAAAGAATATGGATCAGTAAAGTAAAGTGTTAATTTTTAGTAATGACTAAAAATAAAGTCTAAAACGGACATTTCGTCACATACGACACCCGTCAATCGATTGTATCTAAAAATTAATGCTATTGTTTTCGTTGAGAATCGAACTGAGTGTTTTCTACCAGCTAAAAGATATAATAAATATAAGTTATTGTTGAGTAATTCTAAAATATCGTTCCCCATAATACCCAAACGATTCAATTTTGATCTTGTTAAAGGTTATCATCAAGTATATAGATAGATTGCAAAGAAAGATGTGACAACTGCCTACTCATCATTTCTCAAACCAACGAGAAAACATTCTTCAATTAATTTCATTTCAACACATTCCTTGTACTATGAAATATTTGAATATTCATAGACATTTTATTCAGATTGTATATTTAAGAAGTTGTTAGAATCTATAAGAAATTAATGTTAAATATATAGTTTTTATCCATAATATGTAAATCAATTTTTCTCATATCACTTCTTTTATTATTTCTCTATTCAGATGTTTTGAAGATTTTATGGCGATTCCAACTACTGGAATGGGTCGTTACAGTATAGTAATGGTTGGTAATTCATTAGCTGAATACTTTTTTGATCCAATAACAGAACGATTATGCGTTACTTTACCATATGAAACACCTAAAGGTAATTAGTAGTTTAAAAAAACCTTTCCACTTCTATCATTCATACTCATTTGATTTTTCGCGTAAAAATAATAAAAGTATTGTGAAATAGTGCATCTTTTAAAAGATTCATTTTCTTGTTCAAATTCTAGTCAAATTAATTGAGATTGTGTCAGAATTTAAATGTATTGTGTTTTTATATTTTTTACTTCACTTGTCATCTTTACTTAAACATGTATATTCTTACTTAATAACTCAAATAGTGTAACTGAATTTGTTGTATGATAAAATTAAAATTGTTAAATGAAGCCAATAGCTGTAATTGTAGTGATTACACTAGACTAAAAAACTAATTGATTATCACCCTCTATATTGTATACTCTTTTTTTAACTGCAGAAGGATGTGAATATAGTCAGTTCAATGGAAAATTTATGTGTTTCAATAGTTGTCTATATAATGGTGGTCAAGGGAACAAGAAACCACTCTTCTTAATCATAACTTTAGAACGTTTAATAACTGGGTAAGTGTATATTAATTTATTGAAATATAACAATTATTAAAGTGCTTATCTTTAGAATCAGCTAATGAATTATATTTATCACTTTAGTGATTTTAATAATCTGTTCACTTCAAACATTTTAATACAACTCTTGTTTTAGTACTATAAACTGATCATTTAAAATTTAACAAATAGGGATTTGTGTATATTAAGTATATAAATGCTTTACAGATGTATTGATCTTATCAAGTTTGATAAAGTAAAAATGGGTTTAATAAGAGAAAACAAAGAACGTTCAACACTTCCTGATTTTCAGTGATTCCATAAATGATACTATTTGTGATCTCTATTTTTTTCTTATTAATACATAGTTAGTGTAATGTACTGTATATTCAGTGGATTTTAATATATGAATATCACGCTGGATGTGTTTTTGATGCAATATTGAATGCAAATATAAATGAACTAGATAAGAAGTTTAATTATCAGCTATAACGAAAGTGAATAAATCTATGACCAGTAAACCTAATGTTCTTTTATTCTTCAATATATAGAAAGATATCATTTATACTAAATAAATATAAAGACGTTCATATTTATTGAAAAAAATATATCTCCACATCTACAGTGAATTGAAAAAAAAATTGATGAAGACAATAACAATAGAATAGATGATAATGGTTTTGGTTTGTCAATTTTACATTGACATGCTTCAGCATGTTTTAAAATCTTTTATTAGAGAAAAATTACCATATACGTTTGAAGTAAAAGTGTGTCTATATTTTTGCTTTTCTGAATGTGGATATATATACCCCCTGGAAGCGAGAGAGGTGACGATATGTACATTTGTAAGGTAGTGAGAGGGGTGTTACATACTCTTACTTATATACTGAAAAAAACAACATTAAGTATATTATGTACTTATGCTGTATTGAAATTATTTAGTAACTAAGGTCATTTCAGAATCATATACAAATTTATCATTTTATATACTATTCATGGGTATACGTATTTATTTATTTCCATCTTAAATCTCATTTTGTCCTATGTCCAAAACGATTAGACCATGTAGTGACCAGACGTGACCTGAACTAACTTATAGGTTAGTGAAATCGCTAACAAATATAGTAAAAATAACAATAACAACAATCATAAAGATATAATACTATTCATATAAGAATTTATTTAGAATAATAAAAGAAAGATATAGAGGTAGAGAAAGTGATGAAAAAGTCAATTTGTCTGGTCACGGGGGTATTCGTTAAAAAAAACTAGAGTCACAATCATAAGTCTTTAATAGCAGAATAGATTAGTTTACGTTGTCTACAGATTAAAAAAGTAAATAAATTTATAGAATAAAACAAAAGAACCTAGACATGACATACTTTGAGAAAGTTTATTCGTGCGGGTGAATGAATCAGATGTTGAATAGTCGTTTGAATGTTGATGCATTTAAACAGAAATAACATTTATTAACTGAACAAAATCATCATTTAATAAAACTAAATAACATTGGTTTCATGCAAGTGTAAAGCGATAAGACTATCATACATGATAACCTGTAATGTTTAAAAGGTTTACAAAAAATCTAATGTCATAGAACATTTTTAATCGACATAATTACTGTGAAAACTATACAAGCAAGTTCACTTCAAAAGCAGAAGTCTAGTAGACTTTGCTATATTTTAAAAATTACCAAGTAATTGAAAAAGATAATCAAACCCTTAGGAATCGATGCAATCCTCAAAATTATCTAGTCTATTCTAACCAAGTCTAATAAGTAATGGAGTTCACTTTCCTGCTCGTTTAAACAAGTGAGTATAATCTCAGAGGCGAGATAAACTACTTGTTGATGACACCTGATATTAGTTGTCTATAGGTTTACAAGTTAGTCAACATCGATCGTGATCAGCGATTAGATTAAACAAAGCAATTTAAGTGTGCACTATAATCATCTTAATAACAAGTTTATTTTGTGTTAAAAATCTCATAACCGTATTATGTTTGGATATTCCTGTCATAATAACTGGAAAATACAATTTAATTCTTATTAGAAATTACTGAAAACACGTAGTATGTTTCTTGATTTTAAGTTAGTGTGTCGGTCGTAATCATCAATTAATTTTTAAAAGTAAACCTACTCAGAGAAGACTACCTTCAAGCATTCCAGTAGCTATTACATTATACATACAGTCACAAGTGTGCGGTACTCTTAAATAAATAATTAGATTAGCTTTATATTAGTGGCTTCAGACCAAAGTATATATTGTGTAAATAGACTTTTTGAATAAACTACCATGGAAATAGTGAGGTAAATTTCGAAAAATTTTTTGTTGAAAGTTAAAAAAAAATAAACTGAGTGCGATTATCAAACATATCAAGAAAATCGGAAATGATTGTTGAAATTATTATTGCCACGTTGCTTGTTGAATAGTTAGAGGAAACATTAACATATAACATATATAAAATCGAAAGGTTGATAGACCTTTTTTACCAGAAAGTTACTGTCAGCCTGCTAAGTTCCGTGAACATGAGATCCGAATACTGATACACACGCTTCTTATATGCACGTTCAAACCAGATATTTGAGTGAGGAAACGAAAAGTGACTGGTGAGCTTTTATTGGCTGAGCAAATCGGAAATCTATGAACAGCTAACTCATAAATATAGATACCTGTCCCACAGAAAATTAAGCTACGTTTTCTATCAGTAGGATACGTCTATTTCGTCAGAAAGCTAAGTCGATAGTTACAGTTAAACCTATAGTGTATATACGTCATCATCTCTTGCTTCTCATCTAATCTATGCATGATCATCCTAGAGTATAACTATTCTTCTCCTACTTCTTGTAAGCACAAACATTTCAATGAAAACATTTCTTGTTTCTTTTTGATAAAACAGGTCTGATCCAAGTAAGGGACATTGTGAAGTACTTGGACGTCAGTGCATCAAATTTCGTAGTTGCGCATGTCCTAAACGAGATAAAGAGAATAACGAAAGACGTACTGGAGATTCCTTAGTAATTGGTACTCCTTCATTAGGTAAACGCAGGAAGGAATCAAGTAAGTGGATTTGTTTAGTCTGAATTTTTATAGATTAGTTTATACTACTGAGAAATAAAAACAGTAATACCATTTGAAGTAACTATTAAACCATTACAAATTACCAATTAAACTCATATGCATAAAAAGTGAAGTTAACCTTTCGGAACACTAACAGTTATAGCTATTTATAATTTTCATACAATAAACATCTAAGTGGATTCTCATAAGGAAATGTAGAAGATATCAGTTTGATAGTGAAATATAAAAGTCGAATTGAGCGATTCTTTGTTGGTTAGTTAATTAAAATTCGTAAGTACTGTGGGTCAGGAGCTAACGAAAATTTGCATCATAATTCGTAGCCGTACAAATCATTTACTTTACTGTTTAACCGGTGCTAAGGATATAAAAAATTTCGAGTATAATCACTATTTAAAAAAGTTATTTTTTAGTATTTAATTTACTTTAGTTATCCATAAAACACACTATTAGATCATTCCTACTTCTTATCGTTTGTGTTTGGACCAAATCTTTCCTAAACATTTGAATTCCCAAACTGTTCGTTTATTGAAACATATGTGAACTTAAATTTGCATCGATTGTCATAGCCAGCTTGAACTTGAAATACTGATCAATCAAAAATTAAGTTTGAAGGATACAACTCTACTTAAGTATTCCATTATTGGCTTGTTCTTAGTTATTCCAAGTGAAACCTTCGTAATAATGTGTCAAAAAATTACTGCCTTAATCAGCTGAGTTATTTCCGTATGGTTTGATTGATCACAATAAATATAGATTTTTACTGTAGATAGAAGGTAGCCACATTAGATCTTTTCGGAATTTCCTGCAGCAAACTGTATAGATGCCTGTGGTTGTTTGCCAGTAAATCAAATTAACTAACAACATATCATAACAAAATTACAGTGATGTTTGTTAGTACTTTTTCATAGTACCTAATGATAGAAATAGATAATATTCTTCAAAAGTTATTTCGAGCTATTCCCTTTATTTCCAGACGATCGTAATGATCGACAAGTCAAACGGATACGTTCAAATCAAAGACCATCATCAGTTTGTAATATAAATAATATAACTAATGCCAGCATTCAAAATAATAATGGGGTGAATTATGAAAAAGATACCAATCTGTTACGTGAACATAACTGGTTATCACCAAATAATGAGTATTTAATAAATGATGAGAAGTGTTCAAGTGAACCGAATGGATTTGACGACATATTTGATTATTATGGACAAGAAAATGATTATGATGGTTATGGACAGAATACAATTCACTTCAATGGAGAATCATACAATCTCTTATTAGTTCCGACAAATTTACCTGGGGCTGTCGAAACATTATCGAGTGTACGTTATGGTTTGTTACGTGCATGGATATATGCACTAGCTAAACATCATTATCATAATCATAATCAACAATATCACATGATAATGAAACAATCACCCTTGACAAATGATTTAAACAACAGAAAAGAAACCAAAAGTGACACTAACATTAATAATCATACTTCATCATTAAACATTACAAATAACGTGAATACTAATATGATGGTAGGTAAAAATACTACAGAAAAACGATCAGATACTTCAGAGAGTCGATACTACCCTACAGTATCTGGAAATTATTCACACTCGTATAATCGTGCCGTAATTGGAAGTACTCTGAATCACTGGCTTAAAACGGAGTCACACCTAGCTGCTCTAGTGTAAGTTATATGTATATATAACATTATTATTCTGTATGTATAGAAAGAGTGTTAATGTTCCGCTCTAAAATTGAATTGATGAATATAAACGAAAGTCAAAATATTGGCAAGTAAATAGAATTAGTGAATAAGTAGACAGGTATTATATTAATGGATGTCTATGAATGCTGATCACGGTCTTTTAACCTGTCACAACTAGGTAGATTTGAATTTTTCGGACAGAGCATTGTGTAAAACCTACCATAATATTAGCGATAAGTGTTCTTAAGTGAAATTTTCCAATGTTTAAACAAATCTGTCTTCATATTTAAAGTTACGAAAACACAAAGATATTATCTGAGGCCAGAGAATATTTCGGCCGAAAGGTTTGTTAACAGACACAAACTTATCTATAGTTCAATCAACTCAAACAGCTGTAAGAAATAAATTTTTGACAAAGATCCTGACCAATAAAACAAAAAGACAAGAAATAATGATAAATTTCCCAGAGGTTTTGGAAAGCCTAGTTAGAGCAGCAGTTATCCTTCGAAACAGTGCTTTCGGTGTAAATTACGTAGGATCAATATTCATGAAGGCGTTTCTGAAAATACACTTAGTTTGGAAAAAACGTTTTAATCATAGACCGAAATTATTTAGAGAATGACTGAAAAACCGTTTTGTTTTCAACAACGCAAGCGGTGTAAACACAAATCTTGTGTAAACATCTAAAAGATAATATAACACTGTCTCTTTGTGATACTTAGCTTTTATGTGAGTGAGTTTGTCGTTCATTTAGTTAGTAACAAGCAAAGAAGGATCTGACACGAATATACATCGGTTCAAGTTCCTATCCCACATCTGCACATTGAGATGATGTTGACAGAACTAACACAAAGAGATTAGTGAAGGAAAAGTCATTTATAGTAGAAAATGAAATATTGGCTACTATTGGAAGTTTAAATGTTTCCGAAAAACTCAGTCTTAATAATAGACACAGAGAATAAAAATGTAATATAAAACACAAAATTAACTAGACAGTTTGATGTCTAATTAATAAGCTTAAATTGTATTCAAAACAATTGATTGTGTCTTGTCATTTTTATATACTCATCGGGATATATTTTAAGTATGCACAATATAGATTTCAGTGACTAATTGTATATCATTAGACTAAAGTTGAAATGAATTGTACTGAACCAAATATAGGACCACAGTACTGCTTTTAGTAATCATACTGATGGATGATTTTCATCTTTGAAATAAGAACAAAACAATACATCCATAGTAAGTAAACATTTTCAATGTTAAAAATGAATAGAGAATAACCTAACAAACATAAGCAAATGTTTGCAATACAGACAGTATGTATATAGGTAGTATAATAAACATTGGTGTTGGTTTCGCTAGTAATATTATTAGCGATGGTATGAATCATACATGATCTAAATGTTAATGCTTAATGAATGTAGTTTCGGTAAACTAAGACATTTCTGTGACCTCAAATTAACAAGACTTTTCATACTTCACCTTTGTAGTCAATGTAATTAAGCTTGTCATGTGCACTCAAAATATATATATATATATATATATATATATATATATATATATATATATATATATATATATATATATATATATATATATGATAACAAATCGACCGGACTGTTAAACTCAATGAGCTTTTAAATATAAGTAACATGGTTGGTGTTATAAGTGACCTGGATCTGTAAACAATGCATCCGTTAAACGAATTCTTGTAAACGGTTATCTCATTATGAAATGAAACATTTATTTGTGGTTTCATCCAATTATTTTAGTTTGAGGGTACTATTAGATAAATTTGTAATCATGTGATAGAGTCGTGGTACAGGTTAGAAAAATATTACGTTATTGAATGATTCAAAGTTTCTTAACAGGAATTATTCTGGTTGATATCCGAAATATATTTTAAGAGGGAAATAAAAATATGAAAGAACTCATAAGAATGATTTTTGTTTTTAAAATAATAAGTCACTTTGGCTTTTTTTTTTTGTTTATTACAGACGTGAAAGGATTAATTTATTGAACATGTATCAACAAACTTATCACTTTAGCGGTGATTCTACTGATTCACAGCCGAATTCTACGTTATCTACTGGTGCTATGGGATTTAACGGTACAGGAAATCTAGATGAACCAGTTAATATATTAAATCAAGACTACTTTAATTCATCTAATATGAATGGATCAGTAGGTAGTGAATTAATGAATTCAAATTTACCACGTAATTTGTCTAATCATCAAACAAATATAATGCAAAATATGGCTGCGTATATTTTATCATCTACTAGTACAAATACTACTACATCTACTACTACAACTTCTACGTCTATAAATAATATCGGTAATCGTGGGTTCATTTATAATACACCAAATGCTGTTGATACAAATTGGTCATATGAAACAGATTCTGATTTAAGAACTGGTCAAACATCTCATACGGATCAGTTATACGAATCAACTCACCACGGATTGATCATAGGCAATAACAATAATAATAGTACTCTACATGTTGTATCAGAATTAATTGATCCTTATGCACTAGTTCAACACTTACCTCAGTCACTTTCATCATCCTCACCAGTTCATCAACATCATCACATTCATCCACACCATATACATTCTGCACATGTCCAATCACAGCATAATCATCAAATTCATCTTCATCAAGGTATGAATAATTCGACTTCTATATCTGATACAAATGATAATCATTCATCAGCATTTACAACAACTGCATTAATTTCTGATAATACAATGAACAATAAATCATTAACGCTTAATACATGTCTCCTTCCTCAAATAACACCAACGACAACGACAACAGTAACGGATACAGGAACAATAGGGACAACAAATTTTGGTCATGAGTTTAATACATCAAATTTTTATACTACAGCCTACTTTAATCTTACTAATTCCAATGCTAATGCTGATAATAATAGTAATGGAAGTAATAATAATGTTATAGACTGTACTAATGCTAATCAATCAAATGATATGACAAATCAAAATTCCACTTTAATTGACTCATTATCACGACCTAGTATACCATCGAATTTAAATCATCGAAGTATGTCACAAAATTCCACATTATGTAACTATCAGTTAACAAATCATACTAATTTATCTGAATCACTTTTATTATCAGAAGAATTGTTACATAATTGTCTGGACAATAAAAAGAAATGTTATGATGAACCAGATGGTGTTCATTCTATACTAACTAAGCATTTAGTGAGTTGATGAAGTTTTTATATGAATGTTTAAATCACGTGTGTATCCAGTCGATAATAACAAAACTGGATAGAGATTTGGTTACATTTTTGTGAAATAATCGTAATAGGATTAAATGAACTGGCTTTCAGACGGTCGATGATTCAATGAATCTCATCGTTAGTTGTATAACTTAAAACAAATATCGTTAACTCCCACAGTTGAAAAAATATTTCTTATATTAATCATGAATAGATCTTGTATGTAAGGCTTGATGAATATAAAGCGTAAATATAAAACCAGTTACAGGCTGCTTACAAACAGCATCAAGACTAAACGGCATCAGATGGATTGGTATTTGATGTATCGAAGGTAAAATTATTTGTTATCTTAATCGAACCTTGTATCGTAAATAAGTGGTCTCTCAAGCGTAATAAACTAGTTTGTATACAGTATTATTTCCTTATAACTGATTTAAACTACATATATTCCATTGGAGACGTTTGTTAGATCAATCCAGTTCATAATCGAGATGTTAAGGTAGTCAGTAGGAAACCCTGAAATTAGACTTCTTCCTAGTTGACTTTCATAAACAATAGCCACCCTGTAATCATGAGGAAAGTGGTGTTTCTTATGAGATTCGAATCCACATCGTGAAGCATTACAGCTTAAGAAGTTACCACTGATATACTGTAGTCGTGACTGAGATATTAACAGTTGATTGCTCATTATTTAATGACCGAACAGTATATACAATAGCAATTTTTTCTTTAAATACTGTGTTATGAGTTATGAATTAAATTGATAAGAAGATAAACAGGTAATAAGCCTGGATTTTTTTCTTCATGGTATTTATCAAATGAAATTTAACTTAAGTTGCTTATTGAGTAAGTTATAATAGCTTCTCCAGAAATCCTCCTAGCCCTAACATTCATTTAGAATTCTAAATGTACTAGTAACAGAAGGAAAAATTCAAGCGTTTATCATCCGCCTTGTTAACACTCTGAAATCTAATGTTATTTGATTATAGTAAGAAAACCAATCTCTCATTTAGTTTTTTTTTACTTTCATTGTTTAATAGATGCTATTATGTAACTAATTTTTTAAATCTTCTATTAACTACTATTGAGAATTTCGGTATTTATCACAGGAACAATATATGTTATTATTATGTATATAACCATTGGAAGTTCTCGCTTATATGTTAACATTACGGTTATGAAAATGAAATCTATAAGAAATGAAGCATTAATAAAACACAAATCTTCTTCGTTTTTTTTCCAGAGAAATACATCATTTTGTTTATCATCTACACGATCCCCTGAATCATGTGGACCTGAAAAATTTGTTAAATTAGAAATCTAGAGAGAAAAAAAATTTCAAATGAAATAATACTGACATATATTGGTTACTTTATTGTTCATTCAAATTATCATATAAAGTCAATATAAACTTTAATTCAGTCTAATCAAATGATACATTCTAATCAAATGATTTGATATTTATCCAGTCATTATTTACTTGGTCTAATCATGTCAATGAGACTGTTCTTTTTTTCTTTCCAAAAAAAAACACAATAAAGATCTACAAATTATTTCCATCTATTCAATCTTTTATATACCACAAGTTTTCATTTATTCTATTCAAGCATATGTATGCACATGCATTTGTAAAATTAAAAATGAAATACTTAAAGTAACATGTAACTAACACTACTTGTCTTCATTACATATTATACATATATCAATTTCAATATCATTGTTTACTATCATCATATTGTACAAGAATATGTACATTATAAGCATTAAAGTATAAACCAGTTATTTGGTTTATTTTTATCTTTTTTTATTATCTGTAATTTCTTTTTGGTATTTTATTGGCTGTCGCATTTATTGTACGCCTTGTGTCATTATCATTATTATCATTATCACATGAACTCTTTTAGGATTTCTAATGGAATTCAGTTTCTTTTTTCAACTTTACTGTCATTTAAACAACAACAACAACAACAACACCATCTAAGCATTCATCTATTCTTTTTTATTATTAATGCTTTTAGAAACATTCCAAAATGAATACATTGAAGTAATGGCATTCTATTGTTCATTTTCTTAAACTCATTCAATTTTTTTTAGTACTAATACGACTATTATTATTATTATTATCATCATTGCTTTTTATCGATACACTTAAACATAAAATTTTGATTTCTTTTCCGCATTATTTTCTGTTTTTTTTTATACATAAAAATTTTGTTTCCTATTTTCTTGGCTTTATCAAAAAACAAAATACATACATGTATAACATACATATATTATGTTGTTCTGATTAGTGGTTAATCTGTAAAATTAGTGTAATGGTCAAGAGGTTTTATGTTTCTCTTAGGCATCTGTTATGTCTTTATGTCCGACTTTTTATCACGTGATTTATCAGCCAATCGAAACATGACATATACAATCTTAGTACTGTGCCAAACCAATGACGTTCGAGCGGTATGAGCAGCCGAGTGCCCTTGTTGGTCCAATGTTCGCCTAGCCCGTCCATTTGGGTCCAGAACACCAATACGAGCTTCGACTATGCGAATCATATATTTCAAACATACTGGGTTTATATATCAAACAAAGAGACCGCGACGTACCATAAAATAGGAAATAACATTTGTACACAATAAAGCTAAAAAGTGGCTGTGAACGTGGGAGGCAGTATTCAATTAACTGAACATAGCTTAAGAACAGTAAATCGTACAATAATAATATATAGGTCAAAATAAAGCTTATAACAAGGGGAATATAGATATGCATAATCTAGTTACTGAATATTTATACCATAAGAATATATAAATAATATGAGTCCATTAATAGGTCTCAGACGTTACTTGTAATATAATCTTCACTAGGATATAACAGTATCTTTACGCAATGGGCTAGAAAAATGCATGAGACTATAATTTATGGACGACCTTTGGGCGATGCTGAAGTGACCTTGAGAGTATCTACTTACTTATTAGGGCTAAATGAGGGTTATAAAGCAGTTTAAAGAATAAGGATTATGATTTACCGTAGATAGTTAGGGTTAGGAATTAGATTTAAAGCTTTTCATCACGAACTGACACCAGATATAATGCCAAGACTCTATTTAACCAAATAGATAAATGAATTTCGCGGCAAAATCTAAGACCTGCTATCGAAAATCTGATTGGTTCATTCATAAATGTTTATCAGGACTGCGGAAATCAAAGGCAAACTGTGGTTAGGAATATGATTCTATTTACTGACGTTAATTAATCTGAATATACTGAAAAATTAAAGGGTAGCTTAATATTAAAAGAGGTGTGAACCACGCTTCTCCTATTTCACTACGGGTGACATATTAATATCACCAAATGCTGCAGAAAATAGTAAAGCCCATTTGTGAATACATGAGTTGGTAACTTGTTACCGAATCAACCTTAATTATAACCAACCTGATGAGCAAATTTAATATGCTGCCATTAAAACAACTGTACAATCGACGGAAAGACCTGATAGTCAGTTATTAGCCTCTTCATTTGCATAATACTGATTATTGGAAAATATAGTATTGTATATTTCATGTAGTACTTCTTTACGAATCCAAAAGGTTGCTTAAACCATGTTTGTCTTATAAATAGCCACAAATTGTTGAACATTAATTCAAAAAGTATTAAATAAAAATGTTTTGTCAGTATAGGGTTGTGAAGATTATTGAGTTTTTTTTTTTGAGAAACACATAAGAAATAACTTGAAGGCAATTTGGATGTGCTATAGGTGTGCTATAACCCTTATTGACCAAAGAGCGAAATATTATTATTCCAGTTATTCAACTGAACTCAATAAAATGTAAACTTAATGTTAATTTACTGATATTCCTTAAACATAATTGTTACTTCAAGTCACTTTAACGTTTGTTAAATAACTTAACTCCCCAAAGGCTTTAGGTTTGGAACATAAATAGCCTGTTTGTCTAAAGAGTCAGATTTGTATAAAATGACTGTGGCACTTTTACTGTGTCAGTGTGGTATTTATATGAACTAATGATTCCTTTGTATTTGATGACTGTTTGATTTCGAATTCTAAATACAATACGTTTATTTGTGCTCACCTAGTTCTTTGTGGCTTGAATCGCATTATTTCGGGAATTCCTAGTTCATACAATGATTCAAATACTCTTAATCATCACATTGGTATCACGAGCAGGATTTGATGCAGTCGACATATCTCCCACATAATTCCATTAGAAATACATTAATCATGAGAACAACGCGTATCTGGTAAAATAATATCATGAATCCGACCAGAGTATGATTCATCTGAAACATTCAACATAATAGGATCAGAATTACAAAGTTGAGCATTACTTGCAGCAAAATGGACAGTAGTATTTCAAACTGACTGAATGTGTCCAATCTTTCCATATTTAAAGCACTTAGAATTGTGAAAGACATATGAATTAAATGAGTGAAACATTCTAAGCCGTGACACCACGTTTACAGAAATTAAGCCAGATCACCTAGATGGAGTAATTCTGGTGTAGAGGTTTAATGGCTTTTTGAAGTCCACAATGGAAATGTATATTAAATGGACTGACCAAGGTAAAAAAATATATAAAAATATACAACCAAATGAATCCGAGGCAGAAAATGAAAGTTTAACCCTAAATAAATCGTCGAAAATAATATGAGAATGAATAATTTACAACTACGTACGACTACACGTGAACACATTGAGTCTGAGTGTAGAGAAAGTTCAAGCAATTCATAAATTTATATGCAAGAAATGTCACTTCCAAGATATGTACATTTAAATGTTTTGGTAATATACTAACTAGGAGAAAAGGGATACAGTAACTGTTATTACAAACTAGTGACCTGGCAACTAAGTAGCAATGAAAAGGGGAATGACGAAAGGCAAGAGAAGCATGTGTGCCTTGTGAACGAGAATCAAACGACCAAGTGTATTCAGTGCAGGAGACAGAAATCACAATTTAAACAAACTATCCCACAACGAATAGTGAGAAATTTATAAATTGAATGAAGTCTGAGAATAAAAGTTATTAACAAGAATTGTTCATACATTCATTCTTGTCTAGTCACCTTTATAATCCACAGTAATAAATGACCCCTAATCTCGATTTTTTAATGTTGACAATTGTCTAGTTGGTGGGGCGTTATCAAAGCCCTGGATAATGAGGAGAGGGGTACTCTCTTTATGGTTTACGATCATTTCTTCTACACTAGTTTTCTAGTGGCCAAACAAAACTAGCAATGTGTGAATAATTTGTTCTAAAACTCATATCACCTTACAGAAGTATCAAGTGTGAGTGTAAATACTTAAGTAATTCTCGGCACATAAGTTGTGTTAAATTTTTTTCGGCAAAGCCGTATAAACTTAACGGATGAAGATTTCTGAGGTGACGGTGGGTTTATGTTTCAAAAATAGGGGTTAACAAGTCACTTTTCTGATTACCTGGTAAGTTACCGTTATTTTTGACAACTTGAAACGAACATAAAAATGTCTCAAGATGAAATGCTAAAACTTATCTATGGACCCGGGATCAACTGTTTTGGTTGTGCTGATTTTCTTGTATTACATTTATTTATTGAAAACTGATCGATCACGGAGCACTGGATTATGCTGTGTTCACTTTTAGTGCCTACTGAACTCTAGCTTTCAAGTTGCTACTTGGCAACTCGACACCCCGTATACTGTGCTGATATTACCACTAAAAAGGATCAGACAAAAGTGGGATTAGTTGCTGATTAGAGATCGGTCAATCGTACATAACTCAGTCTTATAAGTCAGTAGCAGCACATATGGCTCAATAGTACGCTTCAAACTGAGAAACAGAGTGGCATGTGACTGAACCCATCTGCGACCATAATTTACATCAAAACTGAGGGTATGTCGTATAAATGAGAGGCAAGTAGCATGAGACTGCAATTTGAAGTGCACCCTTTTCAAGAGAATTGCTTATCACAAATACCTATACTCTAAATTCCTATGCTAACGTCTGTCCTATCTGGAATGCTGTTGTTGTCAATTTGACAGCAGCCTCTTCAACAGACTGGTACAAGAGGGGGAGATGATCATATCCATATCAATGAGTTACTGCTTGTACCGGAAAACATTTACATATATACGCATGATAAGATGTTACTGCTCACATTAGTTTCACTTTAATACTCTCTGAAGACAACTTGATTTATTCCTCTTATTATTGTTATCTCATTCTACCTACATTTACCAATCCTTATTCACATTTATGTTGCCGATGCTATGTCACGTGTCCAAGTGAATGCATTTACTTTACCGGTGCTCGATCGCCCTGCTATGGCTGCCGCCCAATCAACCGATCCTTTTTATACAGAAGCACCACAGTCTACATCCCTTCAGTGCCAGGAAGTATCCCTAGCTACTAGCTCAGGTACTATCCTATGTGATACTTCTACCGGTCTTCCCCGACCCATCGTGCCCTCTGCTTACTGTCGTCTCGTTTTCGGTGCTCTGCATGGACTGTCTCATCCAGGTATCGCAGCTACACTACGCCTCATCACTGCACGATACGTCTGGCGGTCCATGAATAAAGATGTCTGTATGTGACTAAAGCAATGCTTACAATGTCAACGATCAAAAGTACCCAGGTACGTAGCTGCCCCGATTGGCACGTTCGCTACGCCTGATGCTCTCTTCAATCACGTTCATATAGACAGTGTGGGACCATTGCCACTATCGCACGGGTATGATCACATATTCACGTCCATCGATCGTTTTACAAGATGACCTAAAGCTATTCCCATCACGTGTATTACGGAGGAGACAGTTGCTCACCGCTTCGTAGAAGGATGGATAGCGTTGTATGGTCGTCTTTCGACTGTCACGACCGACCGAGGACAACAACTTGAGTCTGCATTATTCTCCTCACTGGCCCGGCTGCTTGGTACGGAACGAACACGCACAACCGCCTACCACCCAGCATCAAATGGTTTAGTTGAACGGTTTCATCACCAAATTAAAACAGCTCTTCTAGCACACGAAAACAACAATTGCTACGAAATCTTACCGCTCGTTCTCCTAGGTATCAGAACGAGCTTAAAGGCAGATATTCAATGTTCCGCCGCTGAACGTGTATGCGGCACGACACTGCCTGGGGAATTTTTCACACCACGGAGCAGTAATGATTTTGGTAAATCAGAATACGTTCAGCGACTGTCCGAATTTATGCGAACACTAACTCCGGTGTCAACTCGAATACAACATCGACAGGTCGCTCTCCCTCGAGAGTTATTTACCTG